GTGTTAGCATGAAATGTGCTTCTGTTTACTTAAAATGGTAGAATTCATCAGCTACTTGAAAAATCCTATTCTTTGAAGTGGAGGTGTATATTTCATGTTATATAGTTCAATCCTGTCTATGTAATTACATACGTAATTTTGAGCACTTACTCAAAGTGAAACCCTATGCTGGCTGCTGTGGAGGTTGGAGAGATGAGTAAGACCTAGCCTTGGCTTTGCGAATTTACACATTTGTTGGGAGATGGAGCCTATGTATCATCCCATCATAGGACAGATGCAGAAATTAGAAATGCGAGCAAAATGCCATTGGGTTAGAAAGGAAAACTTGAAGGTGCTTCTTGGTAGAGGAAGATTTCAAGTGAAGCAGTCTTGCCTTTATTTATTACACAGACAATTGTTGAGTGGCAAATTGGTTCACGCACTGTACTATAAATAGTCAGGGAGAGCCAATTTTAGTTGTGTCATTGTTTATAGAAGAATAAAGTTCAACAGACAGAATAGACCAAGAAGAACATTCCAGGAAAGAGGAACTGAGTGCAGACCTTCAGGTGACATGATGTGTGTGTGAGAGTGAGTGTGGACTGTGGGCTATGGTGAAGGTGATGGTGGGATATAGATCTGAGTAAAACTGCAAAGGGCTCTAATGCTTATTAACAAAACGATACATTTTATTCTAAATTGTAGTTTTATAAATTGAGCAAATCTAAGTTTACTAGGATTGTTCCCTATTAGGTATAACAGTTGGAGTTGCAGTGGCTTGGAATCAGACCAAACTTAGAATTTGAGCTGTGTCATTTGCCAGACCAAGTCACTTAACCCTTCTGATACTCAGCTTTCTCATCTGGGAAAATGTGGTTTATGAGAATTAGGTTCAAGGAGATAAGGGAAGGCACCAAGGACATTGCCCACCTTTTGGTAGGCATTCAATAAAGGTCAGCTTCTCTTTTTCTCTCCCTTCCCCATCCTCCCCTCCCTTTCTCATAAGAGGGCTTTGATGAAGCATATGCTCCATAATGTCACTGAGTCGTCTGGCTTGATTGCTAAGCATTTTCTTAGACTTTATCCCAGTGGTTCTGAAACCTGAGCAAGTATCAGAAGCACCTGGATGCTTATCAAAACACAGTTTGTGTGCCCCCAGCCCTAGAGTTTCTGATTCAGTGAGTCTGGGTGTGAGGGGGCGGGGGGCAAGAATTTGCATTTGTAAGAAGTTCCCAGATGCTGCTGGTATGGGAACCACATTTTGAGAGCATCTAGTTTTTCTTATTTTGCCCTGGGGCAGACCTTGTCGGATGCTTCCTAACAACCATCCCCTTTTCCCTGCTAACAGAGTCCTGAGTTGTTCTGGCAGTACAGAGAGATGCTTTGATTCAGGGTTAGGCATTTTTTTCTATCTCAGTGCCAGAAGATGAATGATAATGGGTCTAAATCGTCATAGTAATCTCAGTTCTCTTGGCCATTGATTGATCTGAGGGTGGGCAGTTAAGTTAGTTCAGTGTCCTAACTTAGAGACAGGAGCTTCAGCTATACTCCTTAATTTTTGAAGACCTTGACATTCTAATTAAACAGAAATTATAGCGCAATATTAGAAATCTTCCAGAAAATGCAATTCATCCCAGGCTCCTTTATAAAACCAATCCCAGCGTCTGACTTTGATCATCTTTTTTCACCTACCCTTCATCATACTTGGACCCTCCCAGCTCTGCTACCTTACACTGTCCAGGTCAGTGCAAATCTGTTGGAAAGACCAGTCTTTCAATCACACGAACATGCATGTCCAATGACTGTGACATTTGGTCACCGTCTTCTGAACCCCTAAGGAAGACTGAAATCCTATCATTACTAACTTTTAGATCAGAGCTGGGTATTTATGATGGAACTTAGTTACCATCACTAACAATATTTTCTTTAGCATTTGATGAAGTATTATTTCAGTTAAATTACCATAGTAGTTTACCCATTTGTTCATTCATTCATTAGGCAAAATTTTTTTTATTATACTTTATGTTCTAGGGTACATGTGCACAACGTGTAGGTTTGTTACATATGTATACATGTGCCATGTTGGTGTGCTGCACCCATCAACTCGTCATTTACATTAGGTATTTCTCCTAATGCTATCCCTCCCCCTTCTCCCCACCCCACAACAGGTCCTGTGTGATGTTCCCTGTCCTGTGTCCAGGTGTTCTCATTGTTCAATTCCCACCTATAAGTGAGAACATGTGGTGTTTGGTTTTCTGTCCTTGCAATAGTTTGCTGAGAATGATGATTTCCAACCTCATCCATGTCCCTACAAAGGACATGAACTCATACTTTTTTATGGCTGCATAGTAGTCCATGGTGTATATGTGCCACATTTTCTTAATCCAGTCTATCATTGATGGACATTTGGGTTGGTTCCAAGTCTTTGCTATTGTGAATGGTGTCATTAGGCAAATTTTTATTGGATATTCTATGTGCTACAGTGCTGCAATGTCATCCCTCTTGATGTATACAGTTACTTATTCATAGTTTATAAAGCACTTTCAAAGCATGAGAGGCTGGGGACTAAGTTATAATGGAGAGGAAAATCAATGCATGCAATAAAATATGCTTCTCTCATTGTACCTATAGGTATTTGCTAATAGAGTTGTGTGTAGAGGTACATACATGTTTTTATTTGCTTTTTATAACTGTTATGTTACCATAGTTACGAGCATGTGAACATACACGTTATGGTTTGCATCGTGTTACTATATTCTGGTTGGGGATCTTGATTCCCTCCCCCCATTTTATCATTTTTTTAGTATTACTGTCAGTAGCAAGGTAAGAAATTAATTCGATATGCTGTTTTCTATTAAGAAAGAAGGAATTGATAAGTCCCTGTCTGTTCAACATTTACTTTTACTTCTGCTGTCTGCCACTTGGCTTCTGATTGTCATTCATTAATTATTTAGTAATTAATTCCACCCACATGTCCTGAGCCGAGTTCACCTAAATTTGGCACATTGGAGAAAGTAGAGACTAATAAGCTCAGGACCCTGTCATAAGGGGCTCACCATACAGTAAAAGACATAAGACATGCAAAAATCACTGAAATATGACACAGCAGTCCAAGGATACGTGTAATAGGAAGAGCGTAGCTAGGAGAGCAGAGGAGAGAGAGCGGACTTGTGGCAGGAAAATCAAAGAAGCCTCCATGCTCTGTGTGGAAGGACCTGTGCGTTGGACTGTCAAAGATCCTGCAGGATTCGGGAACTTTGACTGAACCAGAGATTCTGGGCTAAATTAGAGAGAAAGAGCTGTCTTCACTCTGTGCCTGAGAGGCCAAGAAGCCCATCGGATGAGATTTGGATAACACTGATCGACAAAGTCAAATCCTGTTACACCAGTGCAAAAGGACCGTCCCAAATACTGGGATTTGTCTGGAATAGCTCTTACTATGTATCATCCCATCATAGGACAGATTGAGCCCCAAACAGCTCATCTGCAGAAGCTTGATAATTTTTTGGTGTGGAGGTTTGGGTGAGATGGTTTGCACATTTTCTGGAAAGAGGCTGACCTGTATACTTTCTTAGGAATGGGGAAAAGCTGAGTTGGCTGGCACTTGGAAAGCATCTGTACATTCTTGGCTTGGGAAGCGTTTGGGATGCATTTATATAATGCGGTTCTTTTTCCTGTAGCACAAAGAAATGACAGTAGGAGGAGGAGGGCTGATCACACAGCAAAATAGTGCCCCAAACTTCAAACCAGCCCCTTTGAGTTATCCAAGTGCACCACGTCCTCCCCCACTCCAAGTTACAAGCAGCTGAATTAAATTAAAAAAACAGTCCCTCCGTTGCTGCTGCGACCTGGTCTGCCGAATTCTCAGCTGGCGTGAGTTTTTACAGCTCCGTTATAAACCCCTGAAAAGTGAGGCATATAATGGAAACATTGACATAACCTGAACGCCTAGGAGCGGCTTGTGCCACTCTAATTATCCTTATGTCTTACTGGCCCGTTTCTCTCCTTCCCCTGGCAGGACCTGCCGCCGCGGCTAGGCCTGACTGTCCCAGGGGCTGGGGGTTCGAAGCTGGCGTTTGCTGGGGAATAATGAGATAGTGTCTGCTGGTGGGAAGCCCCCTGCTCCATACATACTAGTTCCTCCCCTTTGCCTTTCTTCCCTTGTTCTCCTCCTGCACCACCTCCCCCTACCCCCTCCCCGGCAAAAAAAAAAAAAAAAAAAAAAAAAAAAGGCAGAACAGTTCAGTTGGTTGTAAAAATTAATGAGTTCAGATACAGACTTGCCTTATTCCGGTCCAGCTGCGTAACCAGGGTGATTCCAACCAGCATTCTAGACGCTGACATCAGCTCCACACCCCGGCACAATGCTGCTCTGTTTGATCTCAGAAACAGATCGGGCTCCTGGGCTTTATACATCCTGCTTCCTCCCTACGTAAACTCATTTTATTACCCACCAGGAGAATGCATCTCAACTGCTCTCTCCCTGGGCAGCCAATGCCAGAGGATCAGGCCCTACAGCTGAGTCTTCTTCTACCAGCTGGACACTTTGATCCAGTCTTCCTGGTCCTCTGTGAGGTTTCTCCCCATCCCCCAGGCGTTGACAACTGGTGGAAGATGATGTTGATAATGATTTCACCACTTTTCATTTTCAGTGCTCTTCTACCTTCCTGTCTGACCTGTGGTCCACACCCTCCCTGCGCGGTGGAGGTGATAGACCCATTTTATAGATGAAGAAAGTCCGGTAGAGCTGGCGAGTGGTAGAATTAGGAATGGATCACAGGGTTCTTGACTCACAATCCAGTGATCATTCCAGTGACTCAGGGGGTTGACCTCTCGGTGCAGGCACCAAGCAAGGTAGATTTAGTTTGTGTTGTGATCTGAGCTAAAAGAAGGCTCTATGGACCCACTTTCTGGGAGGCAAAAGGGGAGAGGAAGTGGTAAGTCTACGGCAGGCCCTTCAAAGTACATCATGGTGTCCTTAATCTGTGACAGCTCCTGCCCCTTCTATACCCTTTCTACAGGGTGCTGCTTGCTCTGCAGCTGGTCCAAGAAGCTTCACTTCCCAGGAGCAGCAGACAGACGATCTCCTGCTTACAGTGGTTCCAGGAGCACCAACCCCAAAGATGAGTTAAAAGCAGGTCCCTAAAGAGATTTTAGGAGAAGCTGCTAAAATGGTGGCAAAGCTCTTTAGAAACATAGAAGTATAAACCTTTTTATGGGGAGAACTCCGTTCTAAGAGTTAGGAGAGGACTTCCAGGGTAAGTGTTACAGCATGTATCTACTGAACAGGGAAGAGGAGATTGGGGGTCTGTGTTAGTTTCCTGGGGCTGCCATAACAAAGTATCACAGACTGGGTGGCTTCAATAGCAGACATTTATTCTGTCTGGGTTCTGGAGGCTGGAAGTCTGAAATCAAGGCGTCAGCAGGACCGCACTCCCCCTGAGGTTGAGCAGAAACCTTCCTTGCCTCTTCCTAGCTTCTGGAGGTGGCCGTCAGTCCTTGGCCTTCCTTGGTTTGCAGCTGCATCACTCTGATCTCTGTCTCTGTCCTCACCTGGCATTCTCCCTGTGCGTCTGTGTCTTCTTATGCCCATTTTCTTTTTTCTTTTCTTTTCTTTCCTTCTTTCTTTTTTTTTTTTTTTGTTTGTTTGTTTGTTTTGACAGAGTCTCACTTTGTCGCCCAGGCTGGAGTGCTGTGGCATGATCTTGGCTCACTGCAACCTCTGCCTCCCCAGTTCGAGCAATTCTCGTGCCTCAGCCTCCTGAGTAGCTGGGATTACAGGCACCCGCCACCACACTTGGCTAATTTGTGTATTTTTAGTAGAGATGAGTTTCACCACATTGGCCAGGCTGGTCTTGAACTCCTGACCTCAGGTGATCCACCTGCCTTGGCCTCCCAAAGGGCTGAGATTACAAGCAGGAGCCACAGTGCCTGGACCACTTTTCTCTTTTTATAAGAACATCACTCAGTGGATTAGGGTCCATCCTAAATTAAAATGAAGCCGTCCAAGATTGGTGGGGGCGAGGCAGATGTTATTCAATGACTGATGTCCTTATAAGAAGAGATCCTTAACTTGATTATGTTAACTTGATTATATTACTAGGATTCTATTTCCAAGTAAGGTCACATTCAAAGGTACTGGGGATGTCTTTTGGGAGGACACAATTCAGTCGGTAACAGGGTCTTATGTTTCTTTCATAGTTGTCTAACTTCTTGTCTCTATTCAGAAAAGTAGAGAGTTGGATTGGTTCCCAAATAGCCATTGACAATGGTGTTAAGAATCTCTTATACTTGTTCAGAGTTTTACTGACGTGTTTTCACACATATCTGTATTCAGTCCACACAACCACCCTGGAAATGGCAAGGGGTTATAATTTCCATTTTATAGATGAAGAAATGAAAAAGAGGAGAGGGGGATGCCATTTGCTCAAGGCTGCTGGCACGCTAGGCTGGCTCTGGGACTATCACAAAAAGTTCCAAACCCCCGGCCATGACTCTTCTCACAACACAAGAATGAGCTCAGAGAGGTTAACGAACCTGCCAAGGACCGCAGCTGAGAGACTGAGTTGGTTTGCAGATTCCAAAGCCCACATTCATTCCATTTTATCTCATCTTCAGTGGACTTTGAGCATGCCTCAGCCTTCACCTTGGCCCTTGGTGAAGGTGCTGAGAACCCAGACCCAGTGCAGCGGTGTCTCTGGAGCCTCCTGGAGCTCAGCAGCCGACTCCCAAACCTGGAGGTCCTCACTCTGCATCCTGTGCTCTGCCCTCTGGCTGATCCTCAGCATTCCCAGGCAGCCTGGCTCCCTGTAAAGTAGCTTAAACTTCTGTTTATGATCATCTTCCATCATTTCTAATTGTTTTCCTGGGTCCCTTTCTTTTGTAGAGGATATAAACTCAGCATTTTAGCTTTTGAAACAGATTTGCTGTGCAGTTTCATGGCTCTTTAGTGGCTTAAAATGTATTGTTCTGTGAGTCTCTCTGTGCCCGTCACGGCATTCACTGTGGGAAGCAGCAGGACGCCAGCGATGCTGATGTTTATTTGATTTTAGGGGGCTTTAAGGCATTCCTGGGACCATACGGATTACAAATATTCTGCCTCATTGTCTTCAGAAGCTGCTAAAATATCCTAGAAATGATCGTGTTTCAGCGTGTAAGCTACGTATCTCACATTGCCTCTTGTATCCATACATAGCCTCTATCAAGAGCCTGGCATAAGCCAATGTCATGGTTCTGAATGGGAACAACATAGTTCTTCAATCGCTAAAGCCCTTTCCTCTCTGAGATTGGACATTCATTGCTGTTTTCTGCCAGGGCTCTGATTTACAAGACTGTCTATGAGTTCTGTGTTTAATATACGGTACCTGACTGGCTGCCTTCAATGCATGAGACTTCCTGGCATTTTTTTCATGTGATTAGATGGATTACATTTGTTACACATTTATTGTTTAGATATACAAGTAATCCTCACTTTCCACAGGATCACGTCTGCATATTGAAACCATGTACTCACTTTGTACAATCCTTGGTAACTGCAAAGTGAGAACACAGGTCGGATATGAACAAGTTTCAGTGAACATGGTACTATGCATCATGAAGACTATCTGAAGTTGCTTTCAAATAAAATTTGGATAAGAACTGTAACACAATGGTTCTCATTCTTAAGGAAATAATAATTGCTGGCCAGGTGCGGTGGCTCGTGCCTGTAATCCCAGCACTTTGGGAGTCTGAGGCGGGCGGATCACCTGAGGTCAGGAGTTTGAGACCAGCCTGGCTCACATGGTGAAACCCCGTCTCTACTAAAAATACAAAAATTATCTGGGCATGGTGGTGGGCACCTGTAATCTCAGTTACTTGGGAGGCTGAGGCAGGAGAATGGCTTGAACCCAGGAGGTGGAGGTTGCAGTGAGCTGAAATTGCGCCATTGCACTCCAGCCTGGGTGACAAGAGCAGGACTCCGTCAAAATAATAATAATGATAATGACGATAATTGCCCACTGGGCATAAGGTGCTATGCTCATCTGTATACTGAAATACTGCTCACACAGCCCCCACCCTCAAGCCATATAGTAGGAGAGGCCACATGAAGCAAGAAAATGACCGAGGACAAAGACTGCTGAAAGTTACAAGAAGTGAAGTGCTGCCAGGGCTCAGAGGCGATGTGGTCACTTTTTACTGGGAGAAAAAGAATCAGAGAAGGCTTATGGAGAAGTTGGCATCTGCATTGAGCTTTACGAGAAGAGTGGACTTTAGAAATACCAAGGAGGGAAATGGGAGGTGGGCATTCCAGGCTGAGCCAACGACATGAGCAAAAGCCCAGGGGCCAGTGACAGTACCACATGGCGGAGGATCAGCACCTCACAGGGAGCACTGGGTGACTCTGGCTGCAGAGACCTGATAACAGTGTGATAATTCATTTGATGGCATAACTAAACCTACGAAACCTTAAAACTAAGTTGAAACCAGATCCCAGTTAGAGCATCCTCAAGATGGTGGACTAGAGGTGCTCAGCACTTGTTTCCTTCACAAAGAAGGACCAACCAACATATAGATAACCACCCTTGAATAGAGTGTCTAAGGGAGAGCACTGAAATTTAACAAGGAAGTGACAATGACCCTCTAAGGCATGGAAACTCAGGATGGCAACATAGAGAGGGAAGTGAAGCAGCCAGTCAGGATTAGCTCAGAGCCAGGAAGAACTGCCCATTGCAGGGAAAAGGTAAGTGGGAGACCCCCAGAAGTCCACATTCCCACCACAGATACCTGCAATCCTGGCTACAAGAGAGCCCCTCAGCTCTCACAGGCCCTGAGCCCAGTATAGGCAGCTACCTGGAGTCCATATGACTGCATTATTCCAGAAAGGAAATTCACACCACGGCCTCACTGACATCCCACCACATCCACCCAGAGGACTGCAGGGTCACAAAGGCAGCTGGATTCAGCAATGCAGCTGCGACCCTGCACCCGAGCCCATACAATGTCCTACATCCTGGGAAACCGGTAGTTCAGCACAGCAGGGAGGCTGCCCCCAGGATAGAGGGAGCCAGTGGGCACACTCTCCAGAGCCTGAGAGCCAACTGCCCTGGGGCCCACCTTTGCCAGCTGCCCCTGACCCTGCCGCCCCTCCCCCAGCAGTAGAACCACCACAAACCTGTACAAGCTTCCCAGGGATTGGCCTACCTGGGGCTTGCAAATGCCATGGTCAGCAACCTCAACCACTTCAGTAGCAGAGCCATTGTGCACCCACAGGCACTCCCCAGGGGCCCAGGAACTGGGCTGCCCAGTGTTCCTATCCCTGTCAAAGCCATGCCACAGCCTCTACAAACCACTGAGGCACTCAGAGGCACCACCGATGTTGATTACAGTCAAAAAAATACAAAGGCTACATTACTGCACCCACTCAGAACCAAAGCCAAAGCATCCTATTCAATTGACACTATAGATACATCTACAAGAAAAGACAAATTAATGATCTGAATGAGAAACTCAACAAAGAGACTGATAGCATAAAAAATAACCAAATAGAAACCTTGGATACGAAAAATTCAATGAATTAAGTAAAACATACAACTAAGAGTTTCAACAATAGACTAGACCAAGCAGGAGAAAAAAATTTTGAACTTAAATACAAGTCTTTTGAAATAACCTATTCAGACAAAATAAATAAATAAGAAAGAATGAAGAAAACTTTTGTGACACATGGGACACGATTAAGCAAATTTGCATTTTGAGAGTTTAAGAATGAGAAGAGATGGGAAAAGGCATAGAAAATAGATTTAATGAAAGAATAGATGAAAACTTCTCAAGACTTGGGAGAGATACAGACATCTAGATATAGGAAGCTCAAAGATCCCCAAATAGATTCAACCCAAAATGTCTTTAAGGCACATTACAGTCAAACTAACAAAAATCAAAGACAAACAGAGAATTCTAAAAACAGCAAAACTGTCAAGTAACATAGAAGGGAATCTCCATCAGACTAACTTCAGATTTCTCAGCAGAAACTTGAGAGCCCAGGAGAGAATAAAATGATATATTCAAAGTGCTGGAAGAAAAAATTTACTATCTAAGAGTACTATATCCAGCAAAACTATCCTTCAAGAAAGAAGGAGAAGTAAAGTCTTTCCCAGACTAACAAACACTGAGGAAATTTATCACCACTTAACTGGTCCTATAAGAAATGCCTAAGGGGACCCTATTACACCTCGAGTCAAAAGAATGATATCTACCATCATGAAACCACATGAAAAAATAAAATTCCCTGTGGAGCAGACACACAAGTGAGAAAGAGAAAGGAATCAAATGTTATCACTACAGAAAACCACCAAAACACAAAGATAAACAATAAAAGAGGAATAAAGGAACAAAAGACATGCAAAACAATCACAAAATAATTAACAAAATGACAGGAGTATGTCTTCACTTTTCAATAACAACTTTGAATGTAAACGGTTTAAACCTGAATTAAAAGATGTAGACTGGCTGAATCAATTAAAAAAAAATCCAACTACATTTTGCCTATAACAAACTCATACACCTGTAAAGACATACAGAGACTGAAAGTAAGGGTATGGGAAAAAATATTCCACACAAATAGAAACCAAAAGTGTGTAGAAGTAGCCAAACTGACATCAGACAAAATAGACTTTAGTCAAAAAACATCAAAAGAGACAAAGAAGATCATTACATAATTAAAAAGAGATCAATTCATCAAGAAGTTATAACAACCATATACGTATGTGCACCAAACACTGGGTCACCCACAAATATAAAGCAAATATTATTAGAGCTAAAGAGACTCTAGACTCCAATTCAATAATACCTGGGGTCTTCAATATCCCACTTTCAGCATTGGACAGATCATTTAGACAAGAAATCTTTGTTTCAACGAAGAAACATTGAAGTTAGTCCACAAAACAAGTCTCAACAATTTTTAAAATAAAAATCACATCAAACATCTTTTTAGACCACAATGGAATAAACCCAGAAATCAATAACAAAAGGAACATTAGAAACCATAAAAACACATGGAAATTAAACAACACACTCCTGAATAGCCAATAGGTTAATAAAGAAATAAAGAAGGAAATTTAAAATTTCTTGATACAAATGAAAATAGAAATACAACATACCAAAACCTATAGGATAAAGCAGAAGCAGTACTAAGAAGGAAATTAATAGCAATAAATGCCCACATTAAAAAGTAGAAAGATTTCAAATAAACAACCTAGTGACTGACGTGCCTCAAGAAACTAGAAAAGCAAGAAAAAACAAAACCCAAAATTAGTAGAAGGAAAAAACCAAAAAAAAGATCAGAGAAGAAGAAAATAAAATAGAGACCAAGAAAAAAAAATCAACAAAATGAAAAGTTGGTTTTTTTGGTCAATAAAATTGACCAACTATTAGCAAAATGAGCTAAGAAAACAAGAGACCGGACACAATTAAATAAAATGAGAAATAAAAAAGGAGACATTACAACTGACAAAGGGCCATTAGAGACTGTTATGAAAACTATGAACCAACATACTGGAAAGCTTACAAGAAATTGATCAAATCCTGGACACATCTAACCTATAAAGATCGAAGCAGGAAGAAACAGAAAACCTGAACAGATCAATAACAAGTAATGAGATTGAATCAGTAATAAAAAGTCTCTCAACAAAGAAAAGCCCAGGACCAGATGGCTTCACTGCTGAATTCTACCAAGCTTTTGAAGAACTAACACTAATTCTTCTCAAACTATTTCAGAAAAATGAAGAAGAGGGAATTCTTTCTAACTTGTTCTATGAAGCCAGAATTACCCTGATACCAAACTCAGACAAGGACACAACAGAAAAGGTCACAGGCCAACATCCCCGATGAACACAGGTGCAAAAATCCTTAACAAAATGCTAGCAAGCTGAATCCAACAGTGCATCAAAAAGATAATATACCATGATTAAGTGGGGTTTACCCTAGAGACGCAAGGACGGTGCAACATATGCAAATCAGTCAATGTGATACATCACATCAACAGAATGAAGGACAAAAAAGTACGATCATCTCAATAGATATTGGAATATATATTGGTATAAATACACAAAGTAAGATTATTCTGACATAATAAAGAATAAAATCTTATAATTCATGGCAACATGGATGAGCCTGGAGGTTATGATGTTAAGTGAAATGAGTCAGGCACAGAAATACTGAAGGTACTAACTCATGTGTAGGAGCTAAAAAACATTGAGCTCATAAAAATAGAGAATAGAATTGTGGTTATTAGAGGTTAGGAAGGGTGGCAGGGAAGGGAAGACAGGAAAGGTTGATTAACAAATACAAAATTATAGCCAGACAGGAGGAATAAGTTCTAGTGTTCAACAGCATTGTAGCGTGACTATAGTTAACAATAATTTATTGTACATTTTCAAATAGCTAGAAGAAAGGATTTTGAATATTCCTAAAACAAAGAAATGATGAATGTTTGAGGTAATGAATATGCTAATTACCCTGATTTGATAATTACACACTGTATACATAAATCAAAATATCACGCTACACTCTATAAATGTGTCAACCATTATGTGATTACTCTATAATCATGATATGTCAACTAAAAACAAAAGGAAAAAAAAGATGAACAATGAACAAAAAAGTATAGCCGT